CCCCCCTCAGAGCATAGGAGACTGGGATATCCTGCTTGGGGAGAGGATCCTGGAGGGGGAATCTTGCCCCGCCCCAAGTTGCTCCCTCAACAATCTGTGACCAGTTGCATCCGCTGCCATGGGTATACTTCTTGGAACTCCCCTCCCAATCCTTCCCTTTCTTCTGCCCCTTCCTGGTCCTTTCTATTTCAGTGGTAAAAACCATGTCTCCAGGAAGGCATGCCTCACTCCCCTGTCATTAACTTCCATCATGCCCTGTAGTTGTTTTATGAACATTGTGTCAGGTAACCTTTTAAAGGTCTACTTGGATTAACTGGGGCACCTGGCTGGCTCAGTCAGTGGAGCGTGTGACTCTTGGAGTTGTGAGTTTGGGCCCCACGTTGGGGGTAGAGATTACTTAAAATCTTTAAGTCAGTTGAGCATCTGACTCGTGACCTCAGCTCAGGTCTTGATCTCAGGGTTGTGAGTTCAAGCCCCACACTGGGCTCCATACTGAGTGTGGAGCCTACCATAAACAAACAAACAAATAAAATCTTTAAGAACAAAGGTCTGCATGGATTAACTTATTAACTCTTCATAACAAATATTGTTCCTACCTTACAGATGAGGAACAGACACAACAGAGAGGTTAAGGAATTTGCCCTACCACATACAGCTAGGAAGTAGCAAGCCAGTCCTCACACCTGGGCAGTCTGGCTCCAGGGCCACATTCTTAACTGCTAGGCTGTATTTGCCTCATATATAAATATGTCTAAGTTTGGGACCGCTTGCTTAGCACCTGTCTCCCTCATAGTTAAGTACAGTAAGAGTGGGAAGTGGTTTTACTCAATCACTGAATTCCTAGCTGTCTGCAGAATGTGTTTTATAGGGAAATCTGCTTTGTTAATGTGTCAACAAATGAAAACATGGAATATGTTTGACATATTTTCTTTTAAAATTATCCCCATTTTCGCCTGGGTGGCTCAGCCGGTTAAGCGTCCGACTTTGGCTCAGGTCATGATCTCACAGTTCGTGAGTTCGAGCCCTGCATCGGGCATCTAAGCTCTGACAGCTTAGAGCCTGAAGCCTGCTTCAAATTCTATGTCTCCTTCTGTCTCTACTTCTCCCCCACTCGTGCTCTCCCTCTCCTTCAAAAATAAATAAAAACATTAAAAAATTTTTTAATTATCCCCATTTTTTCATTCATATTTTTTGTTATTATAGTCATTAGACTTTTATGGGCCAAATACAGACTTAGTCTGGCTCCTACCATCATTCCTCTTATTTTCTGAATCCTTCTAGCATCCCTCCTCCCATTCCCCTCCCTTGCTTCCCACATGCAGAAAGAAAAGAAGTTCCCAGAGCAGAGCCACCATCCTATCAGGCTTACCCCCACCGCAGGCACAAGCAGGGAACATCCCTGCACCCATTCACTCAGAACAAATGATGATGCCACAGAGGCAGGCGTGTCCATGAGAGATGGTTACTTATTGATCACCAGTTCATTCACTGATTCGTTCGCTACCTAATTCAACAACTGTTTACTGTGCCCTTGCTCTGGGTGAGATGCTGGAGAACCACCGGTGAGCAAAGCAGATAAGGTCCCTGCCCACAGGACTCAGTGTTTAGTGATGAAATCAAAATAATCATGTGATCAGGCAATTCCATGTAAGATACAGTTCAAGCTCACCCAGGCCCAAAAGGCCAGTTAGAAAGTACCCCCAGGAAGGGGTCCCAGGAATGCTGGCCCTGCACTCTGCCCTTAGTTTTTGGTTTTATTGCCCAGTGCTTTCTGAAATTGGGTTGCCCTGAATTTAAATCCTAGATTTGCCACTTACTAGGCCATATATCTTGAAAAAGTTGACTTCCCTGCACCTCTATTTCTTTACTTGTAAAATGGCAATAACAATAGTAATGTGAGAATTTACTTAGCTGTTTCAAGTAGATTGTTGTAGGATGCATTTAAAAAAATGTTAATGCATTATGTTATCATTGCCCAGTCTAGTTGAATCTGACTCAGGGCAGGAGGCTGTATAGCCCACAGCTTCAGAACAATGTTCCCTTCCTATTGGTCTCTGGTCTGGAGAAGAGTGGGATTCTCAGTGGCTTCTTCCTGGAAGAATATAATATATTCTCCTTTTGGAATATAAATGCTAACTGAAGGGAAAGAGATAGCCCTGTTGCCCAGAAGTGCTCTAAAACAGCCTGGCTGATTTCATTGTTCCAGCTGGAGCCTCAGCCTAGACCTCCCTAAGAGCACTCACCTGGACTAAACAAATGTCCACCAGCCTTCCAATAGATATGGGTGGTAAACTAAAGAAAAATTTCAGTAAACACCCTACAAATCCAATGCAAGCAAAAATTCTAACTTCAATTCCCCTACAGACCATATTTAGCACAACGAATTGTGTCTCAGTGGAAGCAATGTAGGAATCACCCTCCCAATGCTAGAGCAGCAGACTTTGTAACGAAATAGCAATCAAAAGAGGACAGTGGGCACCCAGACTTCAATACGGCTCTAAGCAAGATCCTCTGCCTCCAAAGAACTTACAATTGAGTCTTATGGTGTTGCTCCTTTTGCTTCTCATGAGAGTTTTCTGTGTAGATGTTTGAGATAAAAAATCCTGAGGAAAGGGTGCCTCAAAATCTATTTGTTTCTTTAGGCAATTGTTAAAATAGTAGGACAGAAGGAACATTATTCCTCAGAAAACATATTAGCAGTCTCCCCCAGGGTTGCGCTGCCCAACATAGAGTTACACCATGGTTGTGGCTCCTCATTAACAATGCAGTTTGTCTCAACTCATTGGTGGTATAGTTGCTGGGAATTAGATCGGTCACTTGGGAAGACAATATGGCATTTGACATTCTCACTTCTGTAGCACAGTATGTGCATGCTCCGTTTCAATGAATCGTTAAGAGCTGAGAAAACATTCTAACCGCCCCCAAACCCAGCAACCACTGTTCTGATTTCTATCACTATAGATTAGATATACATACCTGTTTTGAACTTATATAAATGGAGTCATGTACTATGTACTTTGTTTCTGGATTCATTTGCTCAACATGTCTATGAGATGGCAAAGCTCTCATTTCTGTTGTTGTATTATCAGTACTTTAATTCCTTTTTTTGTTTTTTAAATAAATGCTATTGAAAAGTATAATGTGTATAGAATGAAGTGACATTTTAAATATACGATTCCATGAGTTTTAACACATTTATGTATCTATGTAACCAGAACCCCAATCAAGATATAGAACATTTCTATTACCCAGGAAGTTCTCTTGTGTCCTGCTCAACCTTCCCCGCTCCAGATGCAACCACTGTTCTGACTGTTCTCACTATAGATTTCATTTCTCCTATTCTTGACTTGCATATAAATGGATCCTACAGCAATCATCTCTCATGTCTGACATCTTTCCTTCAACACAATGTCTCTGAAATTCATCTACTTCATCATGTGTAGTTTATTCCTTTTTACTGCTGAGTCGTGTAACAGTCCATTGAATAAACATACTATAGTTTATCCATTCTTCTGTTGATGGACATTTGGGTTGTTTCCAATTTGGGGCCATTTTTACTAAGTCTGTTATAAACATTTGTGTACAAGTCTTTTTGTGGATATATGTTCCATTTCTCTTGGATAGTAACTGGGAGATGTGCTGGGTCAAAGAGTAGGTGTAGATATAACTTCCTGAGAAATTGCCAAACATGCAAACCAATCGTGCCATTTTACAGTTTCTGTAGGAGCGTATGAAAATTTCAGTTGCTCTTGACTAACTTTCTTTGCTTGACTTTAGTCGGGTTCTTGAACCTTCTCCTAAACTTAACCTGTGCAGTTCTTGGTAAAATCCAGTTTTAGCAAGAAACCCCTACAGGTGGCATCTGGTCACCCTCGATGTCTGATAGAGTCTTCATCTTTGCACCATCCCCCCCGTGATGTCTGATCATCCTGGCATTTTGTCAGCAAGAATCCTGTTAGGTTACTTAACCAGAATTCCCCTTACTCTTTATGTTTCTTCGTAGTAATTTTCCATCCACTGACCATGCATACCCTCCCTCCCCTGTCCTCGGCTATAAATTTTCTCTTGTTCATGCTGTATCTCACCCTCACTGAAAAATCCCACTGCAGTCGTCCCTATACCTATCCTCTATGCCTTACCATCTTTACCATGTTGTTGAATTTTTTTTTCTTTAACATTCCACATTTTTACCAACACATAGAAAGTTAATCTTTAATTTTAGCGATTCTAGCAGTGTGCAGTGGTATTTCATTGTGATTATGATTTGCCTTTCCTTAATAACCAATGATTTCAAGCTCTTTTTCACATGCTTACTGACCACTAGTTTCCTCTCTTGCAAGTGTTCAAGTCATTCACATATTTTGACATAAATGTTGCTATTAGAAATGTGTCCTTAACACATGTTGAACTAAAATCTCTATTAGTCTATTCATCTACACATTAAAAAATATTTATTGAGAGGCTATTATGTGCCGTAAACTTTTCTAGGCTCACAAATTGTGACTAAGAGATAAAATCTTTGCTCTTGTTTGAAGAGTTCATATTCTGCGAGCGGCCAGGAGACAGCGAAATGGAAGCAAAGAAGATGATTTTTGGTGGTATGCAGATGCTCACTGAGAATTAGTGATAAAATATTGGAAATAACCTACATCCCCACGGTGAAAGATGTAGGGGAGTCAGGTAATTTATGTGATAGGAGTTTGATGGAGTATAATGCCATTAAGTTAATAATTACAACATGAAAAAATACTTAACTATATAATAAAAAGGTCTAATTTAAAATCGTATGTGCTTTGTTTAGGACTATGTAAAATACCCGTACTTTGATGCATACAAAGACTGGAAGGAACCAGAAGAAAAAGAAAACACTGTTGTGTTTATTTTTCGGAGTGGTTGAATTATGGGGGTCCAAGGGCAATTGCTGTCGTTTTGTTTTCTTACACGTTATCGCATTGTTAACATGCAAAAACTGGCATCTACAGCACCTTCACGGGACTTACCTTTGTGTAAAGCTTTAGAATTCACTGAGACATGTGACGGGCTTAAAATAAAACTTGGGTTACTTCAGTGTAAAGTAAGGCAATAAAATGAGGACTAAGAGTTTGACTTCGCAGAGATTAGGGATTTCAAGAAAGCACGAGGCTGCTCCTGGAAAGTCCGAAGGAGACGCACGTCGGCGCACGACCGGCGCGGCGCAGAATAGTGACGTCTTGCGCCGGACGGGAACTGACGTCACTTTTGGCACCGCCGCTTCCGGTCCGCGTGGGGGCGGTTCTTGCGGAGATAGTGGACTCCGGGCAGGTGTTGGCTCGCGGTGCGGTGAATTTTTTCCGAAGTCAGCCTCCCTGCTCCCCGCATCATGGCCACCGACTCGTGGGCCCTGGCAGTGGACGAGCAGGAAGCGGCTGTCAAGTCGGTCAGTGGCTTCAGCTCTCGCGGGGCGAACGTAGCAGGGGCCCGAGCCGACCCTGATTCGAGCCCCGGGAGCTGCCCGGGTTGGGAAGGGTTGTGGCCCACACCTTCCTAGACTTTGCGGCGGTGAATCCCGTGGCCCTGATTTGTGCCTAGGGCGATAGAGACCAGTGTCAAGCTTGTTCTATTCATCTGGGCCAGTTAAAGACTTTTTTGTCCTGTAGCAAATTTGTTCCCGCTCTGTATGTTTTCTTTCCTTGTATTGCACTTCCTCACTGGGGATTGTAGACACAGGAAAATTTAGATGCTGATTCTCTCTTTGATCTGTTTTTCGGATGAATCGGTGCTAAACCCCTTTTTGTTTGTTTGTTTGTTTTTGGATTTTTCTTAACGTGGCTGGCATTTGGTAGCTTTTTGCAGGATGCAGATTCAGGTTTAGATTTCGTGTTTCAGTCTACTGCAAATGTTGGCGGGAGGGACTACAGATTGTTTCGTTGATGTTTAAAAGGGATATTTAGATTCACATCCTGGTTCTTTTATAAATGAAGATCTATTCAATTGTAAGGTAATTAGTGTAAACTGGCTTTCTGTTCTTATATGTAACCGTAGGTTTGTTTAGTGATAATTCACTATTGATTTTAATAGTTTTGTCTGGTCGTCTGGAAGTCTTATGTAACTTTTTAATGCTTAAGTTAACATTTCTTCTGCAGTCATCCTTGATTGCCTTGGGAAGATTGTGAGTTTGTCAGCAAATATTGTGGTCTAAATCCAGTGGAATACAGGATGAATCTTTACAGTCTAGTTGGGAAGGTGAGAATGTGGGAAATGCTGTGAAAATGGTAAGAATAATGCGGTAAGTGATGTCTGAAAAGAGAGAGGACGTTTATGAATAGGGAATAAGAAATTGCTTGTGGAGAAGTTTCAAATGGATAATAGAGGATGAGTCATGTAAGATAGAGGTGAATAACATTTCAGGAGAAAATGCACAAAAGTGCTGAACTTGTCTAGAGAGCAAGAATCAGAACTCATTTTTGCTGCAGCTTAAGTGTATGGGTTGTAATAGAAGCTGTACAGAAAATATAGAGTGTACTTTGCAACCTCAACTGAGAACTTCAAGAGGAGAGACTTTTGTTAGTCGGTTTGGGGATTTTTCAGGGTACTGACAAGATTAGATCTGAGAGCTGGCAAGATTTATTGAACACCTAGAATGTTAGTGATGTCTACAGGAAAGGCAGTCAGTGTGGAAGTTACTGTAATAGTCCAGAGAAGGGCATATGTTGTTGGGTGGTGGAAGTGACGATGAACAGATGGATTTAAGAGATAATTGTGGCAATATAATGTGCGGGATTTAGGAAAAAGGCAAAGGTTGTTGTTTGCAGGCGGCATCCCAGAGGTGGTATTAGTAAAATGCTAATAACAGGACTAGAGAAGAGGGAAGATGGGCAGATTTGATTTGGAGGTCTCTGAATTTTAGACAAGGAGGACATCTTGGTAAGTACCTGTGTTGTGAATCCCCAGGAATTGTCTAGGTTCAGTGATTTCCTGGGAGAACTCATAGGACCCAGCACATAACTGTACTCTCAGCTCTGATTTATTACACCTCTCCTGGTGGATTTACACACAGCTTAATTAAAGTCCTATACCAGCTAATTGTAACATCACATGTGAAGTATTGTCAGAGAAGCTCATTAGAGACTCAGTTCTTAGGGTTCTTATTGGAGAGTTGTCACAAAGTCACCCTCTGCTTAGCATGTACCAAAATTCCAGACTTACAGAAGGAAAGCAGATGTTTAACATAAATCGCATGTTTTTACAATTTAGGTATAGCAAACCCCTCAGCAGTTCTGGGAATGGTGGGAACCCTTCTGAAGTCCAAGTTCCCAGGGGCCAACCAGGGGCCAACCTTGCGAGCTGGTTTTTCTAAGGATAGGAAACGGTTAACTGTGTTAACTTTTCTACAGAGCATGTATCTCACATTTGGAATTGTGGCATTGGACTTCAGAAGAAGAATCAGGGCAAGCAATGAAACTCATTATAGGGGCACCTGGGTGGCTCTGTGGGTTGTGTGTCGGACTTTTGATTTTGGCTCAGGTCGTAGTCTCATGGGTCATGAGACTGAGTCCCATGTTACGCTCTGTGCTGACAGTGTGGAGCCTGCTTGGGATTCTCTCCCTCTTTCTCTCTGCCCCTCCCGGCTCGCACTCTCCCTCTCCCTCTCAAAATAAATAAACATTAAAAAATAAAATAAAGTGTTAACAATAAATAAAACTGGCTATTATCCACAAAGAAATCAGAGTATTACAAAGGATGAGGTTCTGGCACCGTAGCATTTAAAATCCAATGCTTCACACAAGATCTTTTCTAAAAGATAGTTACTGAGAATTGTTTTCAAAAAAATTTTTTTTAATGTTTATTATTTTGAGAGAGAGTGTAAGCAGTGTGTGGGGAGGGGTGCGCAGAGAGAGAGGGGGAGAGAATCCCAAGCAGGCTCCACACTTGGTACAGACCTGAGCCAAAATTGAGAGTCGGACGTTTAACCACCTGAGCCACCCAGGCACCCCTCAAATTTTTTTTAAACCTATGACTCTAATCTAGCTGTGATATTATGAATATTGTACATATAGACCTAAACATACTTGGCATCTGGTTTTAACCACTCTACTTCTCAGAAGGCTGATGTAAATAAATGTGTGAAAATATTGCTTCCTGATAGCTGGGGAAAACCCTCCTCCCCCACCCCACCCCTTTTTTTAAAATTTCCATGTAGTCTTGTGTATCTTAGTTTAATAACTAATTCATAGTATTAGGTTATCATATGGCTGTGCTCTCAAGTGTACAGGTAGTAAATGGAAATGACAGAGACGAGGACAGAGAAAACACAAAGACAAAGATCTTATATTTACACACAGGATTTTTGTTTGGTTTACGCTTATGTGAGCAAAGGTGTGTCTTCAGAGTCTTCCTTGCATACAAAAATGGGTTTGGAGGGGAAAGAGAGGTATGTCAGGGAGTTTAGTTTGGATGCAATTTTAGGATCCCTAATAAAAGATTCTGAGAGTTTGAATTAGTAGAAAGGACCTGATGTCAGTTCATTTGTTACTGTCATCTCTTCCAACACAAATGGCTTCCTTTGCTGCCTCTTTTGGTTGTATGACCAGTTTAATATCTTTCCTTCTCTTCCCCGGATCAGCCAAAACCAAAAAACCAAAGGCAACCCTAAGAATCTTTTGGAGACATAATTTGACCCTTTTGCGATTAGAATTGTCATAGAGGTAGATCTTGAAGCCTTTCTGAAGTGTCTTTGAGTGCCAGAGAGTTCACCCCTCCACAGATCAGGGACTCTGGGATTGATGGAAGGTTGGCCACCCTTCAGGAGCTACTCTTTTTTTTTTCTTTTTTTTTTTTTTTTAACACTTTTTAATCTATTTTTGAGAGCCAGAGTGCCAGTGGGGGAAGGGCAGAGAGAGAGGGAGACACAGAATCTGAAGCAGGCTCCAGGCTCCGAGCTGTCAGAATCCCATGCAGGGCCTGAACTCATGAACTGCGAGATCATGACCTGAGCTGAAGTCAGATGCTTAATCAACTGAGCCACCCAGGTGCCCCCAGGAACTACTGTTAATTTGGATAGGGAAGGGATGCTTCTGTCATAACTGAAAGCCTGTGTCCAGGGTCAGGGACGCTGCCTTCTGTTGGATGCATGACTAATAATTGGAAGGTTCCTTGGTGAAGATGAATTCAGAATGAAGGAGAATGGGAGTCAATTGGCCTGCCTCTTTCCCATGATGCAGTTACCTCTCAAGACAGGAATACCAGTCTGCAGGTAGTTTTACCCTTGAATGCAGCTGAATAAATCCTGACAAATTCATAGATCTGACTATCCCCTAAGCCTGTCATCTTTTGTTACCACATCTCTTTGTCAAATTATAGTACATTAGATTTGGTTATTGTTTTCTTTCTCATCAGTCAGGCTTTGAGACCACTCTAATCAACTTGGTTGGATTGGGGACTCTGGACTGTTTTATTTGTGTTTTTCAGCCCATCCCAAGAGTAGTCTTCTGTGAATCCCTGTGTATTCAGCCTAAAAATGAGGTTCATCAGTGGATACGTTCTAGTATGAAATACCTTCTGTTAGGTACCAACATTCCTCTTAGCCTTCAGGGAAAGGGTGTCCACCTCCAGTAGTATGTTGGTCTGATTTTTCTCTGGACAACCTGGTTTCTAAAGAGATCAGATAAATATTCCTACAGTGTGAGGGTGGACTTCCAAAGACCATGAGCAGGGTCAGTTGAGGGGAGGGAGAATGGTGGAAGAAATGGTTCTCAATGCCCTCAGGAAACACTGGTGGTCATTATAAGGATAATGAATGATTGCATCAATTCAGGGATCTTGTTGGGGACAGGGCTTGGGGTCTAGGGCTTGATTTGGGGTACTCCTTAGAACCTGACAACACACCTTTATAATACCACTTCTGTGTCACACCCTTACTCTTACCAACACTTTGAACATGGGAAAATAATTCCCATGAGATTGGAGACTTCATTATGAATGTATAAATTACTGTTCTGCTTGCACTTTAATCTGCAACTTATAAGCAAGTTTTCACTGACCAGGTCTAGTGGCCAAAATCAATAAAAAACCTGTGTTCAGGTTTCTGATAAATTTAAAAAAATTTTTTTTAACGTTTATTCACTTTTTGAGAGACAGAGACAGAGTATGAGCAGGACAGAGGCAGAGAGAGAGGGAGACGCAGAATCTGAAGCAGGCTCCAGGCTCTGAGCTGTCAGCACAGAGCCCGA